ATTTCTGACTTATGGCGACCCTAAGGCAAACCTATCATGGGGTTTTCTTGACGCAATTTGTTCAGAGGTTTGTCATCTCCTCCCATGAGGCTGAGAGATGTGGCCTGCCCAAGGTCACCCAGTGAGTTTCATGGCTGAGCTGGGAATCAAAGTCTGGTCTCCAGAGTTGTAATCCAATACTCAACTGCTACGGCACTCTGTCTGATAGCTATGTCTATTTTGGCAAGCTATATTTCTGCCTTTTTGCAAATCTGTCTTCCATAGAATTACAACAACAAGTGGGAGATAAAGAGCAGCCAGAACACACCTCCATCATACTGGGATCTCTGAGGTTTATCACATAGCTAAAATAAAGCATTTTACCTGAATCGAATTTAATGCAGCCTAGGTCCATCCCCACTCCTAGGTGCCTCTTTTCAAAACCAGGAGTCTCCTGGCTCCTGGAAGTGGGGATAGGCTCAGGATGCATTCAGGCAGTGGTTTTGGCAGCAAAAATCTTTGTGATAAGGTCCAGATGCAGCCCGATTTAAAATTAAATTTGATTGAGGTAAAATGCTTTATTAGCCATGTGATAAAGTCCTTTTTTCCCTTGTGTTTGTTATCTTATCAAGTGTGTAAATCTGTTATCTGTATCTGTATGAAATTATCTGACCATCAAATTAACTGTTGGTCAGCCACCTTGGGAGCCTTTTTGACTGTTAATGCTTTAAATGAATAAGAAGATACATATATAATTAATAGATAATTAAGCTAGTAGCAATTCTGTGTGGGAGAAGAAATGCAGCTGAGAATTATAATTCTCACCATTGCTTTCCTCTCAGCAACACAAGTTGTGTAGCTCTTAGCTGTTCTGCGCCAATGCTGGTGTAAAGGAAGCCGGGCTTATTTGTTGCAGAGGTGGGACAACTCTCTTTGGCTTCTCTTGTAAAAACAAAATTGCTTAAGCAAAGCCTGTTCCTGCCACGCACAACACCTCTTTTACTGGACTCATAAGGTAGGTCATTCAATCAGCCAATTTTCACAAACACTTCCTGTGACATTTCTTGCCTATGGAAACCCCTTTCCCTGCCAAATATTACCCTGCTTCCCTTGATACCTTCAGTGTTTACTAACTGTTTGAAGTAGCATTACAATAATTTTCTTGCTCTTGTTTTCAAGAACACATACTTCCCCTTGGCTTTAAACTGATTTAACACACGGATGTGGCCGTGCTGAATGTCTTGTGCACCCACCCTTTATTACTTTCATCCTTCTCCTTTCAGCCATGAATAAAAAATAAAATAAAATAAAATTCTTGTCCATATTTATTTTGTGTTTAACCACTTTTGGTGCCAGGCCACCACTGGTAACTAGTGCTCCCACAGAGTCCTTAACTTCAGAGATCACGGGAAAGGGAAGAAATCAGCCTCTCACTTTAATGTTGGCTTTGTGTTGGCTGGACCAAAGACTTGCACTGCTTCTGCCAAAACTGTGAAATAAGTGAAACAAGATCAAATTGCTCCCAGAAGTCCTTGCATGTAGAGAACTTGAAGGTTTTCTTCTCTCAGTTTATGCTAGGTTGGAGAGAAGGAAAAACATCTAGATTCCACGTCTGGATGTTTGGATCCCATGTCAGAGCACTGACAGAGCCATGCTATGCAAGTGTGCTCAGAAGCCCCATTGAATTCAATGGGGCTTCCTCCTAAGTGGGTCTGTACAGAATGTGGCAATTGCCCATTGGCCTTTGGCAGCCCCGGGCTATTTTTGCAGCCCCTTCCTTCATGGTCCCATTGTTATGGAATTTGCTTCTCTGGTGGCAAGGGCAGTAACAAAGAGAGTGGCTTTTACTTTAAATGTGCTGCCCCTCCACTGAAATGTGGCAACTGTGTCACCAAAACCAACACAAAATACAGTTGGCCCTCCATATCCGACAGTTCCCATGATTCTCTAGCACTGTCGTTCAACCATCCACTCCTTAAAAATATTATATATAAAAATTTCAAAAGCAAATCTTGATTTTGCCATTTTATATAAGGGATCCCATTTATGCTATGATAGTGAATGGGATTTGAGCATCCATGGATTTTTGGTATTCATGGGGGGGGTTCCCGGAACCAAACCCCAGCAGATGTCAAGGGTCCTCTGTACCCCTCTATAGAATGAGCACTTCAACTTGTCTTAAGCCTAAGGGCTTGATTTAAATTTTATTATTTATTTATTGCTGCTACAATGGTACAACTAAATTTCATTGTGTGGCTGTGTGTGCAACTGATGGTATTTTGAAAGCTTGGTACTGTGGACCCCGTGAATTTGCCCGCTACAGGATTGTAAACTAACTCCAAAATTTAACAAATTCATAACTCTTGCTGTCTTCTCCTCCATTATGCTCCCCAGCTGACTCAAGGCACTTTTCGGTTGGGTAGCTTTTATGATGTCTTTAAGGCATTGTGTCAGTGTTCTGTCCAGAGTCTAAAAATGAATGTGATTCTCCAATTTGCAAGGCCCCCTGGGGAAGGGGGGAGTCCAAGAGAGGATTAGAGCTGTATCTGCCATCTGTAGTTCTTTGCAAGCATCAACCTTCTATTGCTGTTAAGACGAATAAAGACAAATAAGGCAATCTAAGGTGGATCATAGTTTTCTTAAATGGCTGGTTGTTTCTTTCAAAAATATTATAGTGGTATGACAGATAAATCACAAGAATGCTATGCCTGTAAAACTTCATGGCTAGTTAAAGATGATGAACAGACTTCCAGAACCTTGCATAGGTTTACACTGTCATAGCTACAAACCTGGCTATATTAGCCAGTGTGAAAACCAATGTGGCATAGTGGTTACAGTGTTAGACGGGGACTTGGAAGAGCCACACTCAAGGTGCTTATCACAAAATGCTGTTATATCACCATAGCAGTGGATTAATTCTGCCTTTGCCTCAGCCTTGACACCTAATGTTGTGGCTTTCTTAGTGTTGTGCTGTAGAGACATTAAGAATTTGATTATTTTTCATACTTTAAATAATCCATTAATGATATCCTTTTCTTCCACTGTAGTTCAGTGAGCAGTCCTTAATTTCATTCTCATTTTTTTTAGGCTGTAGTATAATAGTGTCATGATGTCATACCATAATAGCATTTTGTTGTTATGTGCTTTCAAGTAATTTCCGATTTATGATGACATGGGGTTTGCTTTGCAAGTTTCTTCAGAGGGGATTTCCCATAACCATCCTCTGAGGCTGAGAGAGTGTGACTTACTGAAGGTCACTCAGTGGGATTCCATGACCAAGCTGGAATTTGAAACTGGTCTCCAGGGTCATATAGCCCAATGCTTAAACCACTGTGCCATGCTAGCTCTCTTCATAATTACATTATTACAGCTTAATTTTTTTTAAAAATGAAAGCGAAAGCAGTCATGATGCAGGAGGTGGGGCAAATGGGGTGGTGCAAATACAGTTGTCCCTCTGCATCCACAGATTATTTACCTGCAGCTTGAAAATATTCAAATATATATATACAAATTTCAAAAAGCTAACCTGGATTGTAAAATCATGACAAGGTGGCTTTTATATGGGGTGTGTGTTAGTCATGTTTTAAACTTTTGTATGTTTTTAATATTAATTTTATCCTGTTTTTCCTGGATTATTTTAAGTGTTTTTAAATTTTTGTTATAAAGTTTGTAAAGTTTTTTTTTTAACCTTGTGAACTGGAAGAAATGTGGCTTTAAAATGAAATAAATAAATAAATAGATGTTCCGATTTTATATAAGGGACACCATTTAACCACAGCATTATATTTAATGGAACTTGAGCTTCCAGGGATTTTGGTATTCACTGGTGGGAGTCGTGGGTGGTGGTGGTTCTGGAATCAAACCCCAGAGCCCATTGTAGCATTGTTGGCACTGAAGATCTTACGGTGCAGAAAAGAAGACAGTAGAAGTCATAAAGTGCAAATGTAGTGATGCAGCATTATTGTTCCACCATCTTCATGAGCACTGGTGAAGCATTTTTGAACAGGATAATCTGAAACAACTGACTGGCCTGATAGTTTCCAGTGATCCAT